CCATCACATATGTTTATACATACCACTCAACTGGCATTTCTGCATTTGATCGGAAACCAATTTCACATTCTGCCTATTTTTTGACACTTTAAAATAAAATTAAATAACAAAATATTACAATCTTATATTAGAATTATTAGATTTCAGCTGGGCACAGTGGCTTATGCCTGTAATCGCAGCACTTTGGGAGGCCAAGGCAGGCAGACTGCTTGAGTCCAGGAGTTCGATACCAGCCTAAGCGACATGGCAAAACTTCACCTCTACAAAAAACACAAAAATTAGTTGGGTATGGCAGCACGTACCTGTAGTCCAGCTACTAAGGAGGCTGAGATGGGAGGATAGCTTGAGCCCGGGAGGCAGAGATTGCAGTGAGCCAAGATTATACCACTGCACTCCAGCCTGGGTGACAGAGCAAGACTTCACCTCAAATGACAAAGAAAAAAAGAATGATTAGATTTCTTTGGTAATAATATATAACAGAAGTGAGATTAAACTTAATATAGTATGAATACCTTTAATTAGGAACTGAATTGGCATACTCATTACTTTTTAGGCAACACCGTACAAAGCCTGCACAATAGTGAAACAAAGCAATAACAACTATCAAAGAAGTTTACCAACAAAAGTGTTTCTGCCAATGCAATTTAAGTTACTCATTTGCTGTAGTTGTTATCCTCTTAACAGCAATATCGCTTTAAAGGCAATCTCCTGTGAGGTTGTTTGATGCTCATGTGGCAAGTTGGTGACTGTAGGTGTCTTTTGGGTTATGGGATTCTAGGCCTTTTTGGTATTACATGTGTTACATGTTGTTTACCATTTTAAAATCCCATTCCTACATCACTTCGTTGTTGCAGTCATTCAGTTGACAGATTCCTTCATCATGCATTTATCAGTGTACCTAGTTTGTGTAAGACACCAAGCTAAGCAGAGGGGCGCCTATGCTCTCCAAGAGCTGCCATGTGGCTGAGGAGAGAGGGTATGCAATACCCTGACTCTAATACAGCTTCTTTTTATTGTTTTAATTTTGGGGGGGACAGGGTCTTGCTCTGTCATCCAGCCTGGAGTGCAGTGGTGTGATCTTGGCTCACTGCAACCTCCACCTCCTGGGTTCAAGTGATTCTCCTGCCTCAGCCTCTCAAGTAGCTGGGATTGCAGGTGCACAACACCATGCCCAGCTATTCTTTTTTTTTTTTTTTTTTTAGACGGGCTGTGTCTTTCTCCCTCACGCGCGGTAGGGTGCGGTTGCGTGATCTCGGCTCACTGCCAGCTCCGCCTCCTGGGTTCACGCCATTTTCCTGCCTCAGCCTCCCGAGTAGCTGGGACTACAGGTGCCTGCCACCACGCCCGGCTAATTTTTTGTATTTTTAGTAGAGACAGGGTTTCACCATGTGAGCCAGGATGGTCTCGATCTCCTGATCTCGTGATCTACCCACTTCGGACTTCCAAAGTGCTAGGATTACAGGCATGAGCCACCGCGCCCGGCATCTTTTGTATTTTTAATAGAGATGGGGTTTTGCCATGTTGGCCAGGCTGGTCTTAAACTCCTGACCACAGGTGATCTGCCCAACTTGGCATCCCAAAGTGCTGGGATTACAGGCACACACCACCATGCCCAGCTAATTTTTTGTATTTTTAGTAGAGATGGGGTTTCACCATGTTGGCCAGATTGGTCTCGAACCCCTGACCTCAGGTGATCCACCCACCCCAGCCTCCCAAAGTGCTGGGATTACAGGCGTGAGCCACCACCCTGGGCCTAATACAGCTTCTTAACTGGTGTGGCTGGGCAAGAGTTACAGGAGTTCCTCCTCATCTTCAGGGAGGCCTGGACAGCATTTCAGACTCTAGGCAGTGTCGGCAATTTAGCCTGGGGTTCTGAACAAATACTTTCATTTTCTTCATGAACCACAATATGGAAAAAATGTAAGGTGCTAATTACTGTAACACATATTAAAAAGTAGTACTGGAAAAGAGAGGAGAATAAGTTATGCCTGAAGTGCTTGAGAAGAGCTAGACCTAAGTCAGATTCCTACAGGCAGAAAGTAAAGGGAAGTGGAAAGTAATGATTTAAGACAATACACACACACTGTGATTCTGCAATCCTCCTGTTGGGAATCTATTCTACAGAAATTAAACCAGCAGGAGGTAAAGACATATGTACAAAGATGTTTATTATAGCCTTGTTTGTTGTAGCAAAAGACTAGAAACAACATAATTATGTCAACAGCAGAATGTTTGAATACATTATGGTATATCCATACTGCGGAATGCCTGCAGCTTTTTTAAAATATTAAATCTCTATGTGTTGACCTGTAGTTGTAAAAGTAAGTTGTTTAGCAATGTGAATAGCTAGATCCATTTTTGTGAGGCAACGACTTATAAATGGGTATATGTTGATCTATGAATACTGAGGAAGGTGTAGAAGGATACACCAACCTGTTAATATTCGTCATGTGGGTAGTGGTGGTGAAGAGTGTGGTATTGGTTTGCTAATTTTTCTTTTATAAATCTCTACTGGTCTTGTTACAATGTTCTACAGAAATTAAACCAGCAGGAGGTAAAGAGATATGTACAAAGATGTTTATTATAGCCTTGTTTGTTGGGGGGGCAAAGATCAGGGAAACAAATATAATTATGCCTAACAGCAGAATGTTTGAATACATTATGGTATATCCATACTATATGAATGCCTCAAAAGCTTTTTTAAAAATATTAAATTCCCATGTGTTGACCTTAGGAAAGTTGTAAAGTAAGTTGTTTAGCAATGGTGAATAGCTAGATCCATTCTGTGAGGCAACGACTTATAAATGTAAGTATATGTTGATCTATGAATACTGAGGAAGGTGTAGGAAGGATAAATTGCAACCTGTTAATATTCACAAGTGGGTAGGTGGTAAGAGTGTGTATTAAGTTTAAGACTTTTCTTTATAATCTCTACTGGTCTTGTTACAATGTTTTTTTTTTTTTTTTTTTTTTTTTTTTTTTTTTTTTGAGACGGAATCTCACTCTGTCTCCCAGGCTGGAGTGCAGTGGTGTGATCTTGGCTCACTGCAAGCTCCGCCTCCTGGGCTCACGCCATTCTCCTGCCTCAGCATCCCGAGTATCTGGGACTACAGGCACCCGCCACCACACCCGGCTAACTTTTTTTGGTATTTTTTTAGTAGAGATGGGGTTTCACCATGTTAGCCAGGATGGTCTTGATCTCTTGACCTCGTGATCCACCTGCCTCGGCCTCCCAAAGTGCTGGGATTACAGGCATGAGCCACCGAGCCCGGGCACAACGATCTTTTTAAGTTGTCATTAAAGATTGGTGTTTTGGAGAAAGAGACAAACTCTGGGGCAAGAGCGATGGGTGAGAACTGAGTGTAGTCTTGTGAAGGGGCCTCCTTGTGAAGTGTTAACTTCTTACATGATTTTATTTCTATGGAGAGGAAAATTTAGTGCATTTGAAGCTTCATCTCCTCTCTTCCTGTTCTGTGTTTTTCTTTTTAATAACCCCGTGTACTAGTCTGTTTTCACGCTGCTGATAAAGACTTACCCAAGACTTGGTAATTTATAAAGAAAAAGAGGTTTAATGGACTCACAGTTCCACGGGGCTGAGGAGGCTTCATAATCATGGTGGAAGGCAAAAGGCACGTCTTACATGGTGGCAGCAAGAGAGAAAAAATGAGAGTCAAGTGAAAGAGGTTTCCTCTTATAAAACCATCAGATCTCGTGAGACTTATTCACTACCACGAGAAGAGTAAAGGGGAAACTGCCCTCAAGATTCAATTATCTGCCACCAGGTCCTTCCCATAACATGTGGGAATTATAGAAGCTACAATTCAAGATGAGATTTGGGGGTACAGCCAAACCATATCATCCAGTCTCAGTAGAGAAAGCTATATCCATCCGTGCAAGTGGTTTGAAGGAGACTGTGGGAGAAAAGGGAGGGAAGGGGTGACCAGCCCATCTCCATCTCTATATGCCGGTCCCCTGTGCAGACCAACCAGTAGGGCCAGGAAGAGACCTGTGGAAAGGTGAGCAGAGGCAAAGGACTGCGATGAGACAGTGGTGGCTGGGGAGTGGCTTCAAGGGGACACGCCGAGGTCAACCCTCCCTCAATGCTGGAGGGAGCAGAGAGAAAAAAGGCATGCCTCTGAAAAACAGAAAAATTACATAAAGGTTGGTGTATCGTTTCCCATCCACTGCTCCAGCACCGAGGGCCAGGAGGACTTTTGCTGTGGCTTAAGAGTGATGGTTTCCCTGTGTGTGAGTGTTTCTGAAAATCTGTGTGTTTCTATAGGCAGAGTACACTGGCACTTCTTGCTACTGTCTAAGTCCATCAATAGGTTTTCTTGCATGGTTTACTAATATTTGCCGGAAGCCTCATGAGTCCAATTTTCCACACTAGAGACTAGGAATAGGAATAGGAATAGGAATAGCAATAGCAATAGGAATAGGAACAGGAATAGGAATAGCAATAGAAGCTATGCTTGAAACTCTACTTTGGCAAAGGATTCTTATTTTATAGAAATGTCAACGAAATGGAATGACTTTACTTAAATACAAACAAAATTTTAAAAACCTATACTAAATTCCAGTTCTTTCCTCCTTCACCTTCCCTCTTTTAAATGAACATTTATTGTTGTTACCTTTTTTGTGTCATTTGCCAAAGCGCTACAGACTCAGTGGAGAAAATTGGGAAAATTCAGTGAAGCACGGGTAATATTTTGGTCTTATGGTATAGAGATAGCGATGAACATTTTTCTTTAAACAGTGATGGGGTATTGTGAACTGCGGTATGCTTTTTTCCTCTTCTGCCACTTTCTACTTTTTAAAAGAAGGATGACTGTCCGACCTTCCTGTACCGGTTGTCGCAGCCCGGGCCAGCCATGGTTGCAGACAGACCGCCGGCTGGGTGTCTCCCTGCCGGTCCCCAGCCTGCCCGGCCTTCGCCGGCGCGGCCCCTTTAAGGAGGCAGACGGCGGGGGCAGTCCCCGCGCTGATTGGCGGAGCTCGGAGCCACGTGGCCGTCTCGGGGCTGCTGCTGTTGCTGTTGCTGCTGCGGGGGTCGGGCGGCGGCCAGGGGGTTTGGGTAGGCACAGCTGGACCCCGGGAAGGGGACGAGTCGACAGATGTGCGTGAGGAGGTCCCTGGTCGGCCTCACCTTTTGTACCTGCTACCTGGCTTCTTACCTTACGAACAAGGTGAGGGGGCGGGCGCGGGAGGCAGAGTTTGCACGTGGGAGGTTTGAGTCGGATAATCTTCCCGTGACAAACGGAGCCGCCTCCTGCTTTTTACCTCATTCTTCCTAGTGGCGATGGAGAGCGAACCTCCTCCGCGTGTGGGATGCTCTTTTCGAAATAGGATTTGTCAGCTTGTACTGTCTCTGTTTCCTGCACTGTAAAGCATGGCACATCTCCAGGGAAACAGGATTTTTGGGCTAGCCACTTCCCGGGAACTTGGTGTGGGGCTGTGTGGACTAATTTTAAGAGCAAGCAAGCAATTGGCTCCTGCTCCCCCGGGGAGGAAGAGTCAGAAGAAATCTGACACATCCTGCCTTTTTTCTAAACACGCCCCTGTCCTACAGCCCCGTGAGGTTCCAGAAGCCTTTATTTAAAATAGAAGCCTTTATTTAAAATAGAAGAGGTTAAGCCGTCTCCCCCTCGCACTGCTGATTCTCGAATCAATTTTTGGTACGTCTTCACTGTAAACACTTCAGGAGATTTTCATGGAATTATTTTTAAAAATAAAACGTACATTTAGTTTTAGGTTTAAACTGATGTCATGAAATCATGAAAACCTTTTGGCGAGGAGGCAGAGAAGCAGTGGTGCCAGGCTTGGGGTTTTGTTTTGCAAGGACAGGGAAGCTGGCTTTAGGTTTGGTACCACGCTGGGAAGGGTTGGACCCAGTAGAACCGAGTGAGCATGGCTGGTGCATTACCTGTTGGCCTGGGCTCTGGGCTGGCCCCAGCCAAAGTGGGAATACAGGGTGCAGGACCACCTGGCCCCACTGCGGGGTCTTACCGCGGGCTCCCCACCAGCTCCGCTCTTCCTCTCCCCTCTCTTCCTCTCTGGAAAAGAACCATCAACAAACAGCATTTCCTTCTACCTCCTATCCTAGGGTGAATGGCTGTCTTTATATATTAAGAGGATGCTCCCCAACCCCCTTTCCTTCTCCAGTTGATTTTTATTTTTATTTTTATTTCATTTTTTGGAGATAGAGTCTCGCTCTGTCGCCCAGACTGGAGTGCAGCAATGCGATCTCGGCTCACTGCAACCTCCGCTTCCCGGGTTCAAGCGATTCTCCTGCCTCAGCCTCCCGAGTAGCTGGGGCTACAAGTGTGCGCCACCACGCAGGGCTAATTTTTGTACTTTTAGTAGAGACGAGGTTTCACCTTGTTGTCCAGGCTGGTCTCGAACTCCTGACCTCAGGTGATCCGCCTGCCTCAGCCTTCCAAAATGCTGAGATTACAGGTGTGAGCCACTGCGCCCGGCCTCCAGTTGATTTTTAGTTATGGCGATATGCCTTTGAAGGTCCATAAATGCAGCCTTCCTGGGAGGCAGTTATGGGTTTTACTTCCTGGCTCCACTTACTTGGCGTTTGGAACCTTACTCTTTCTAAACCTAAGTTTCTTAACTTTAAGATGGGACAAAGCGTGCTCTTGAAAGTGGTGTGGCTGGGCGCGGTGGCTCACGCCTGCAATCCCAGGACTTTGGGAGGCTGAGGCGGGTGGATTGTTTGAGGTCAGGAGTTCGAAACCAGCCTGGCCAACATGGCGAAACCCCGTCTCTACTAAAAATACAAAAATTAGCTGGGCGTGGTGGCAGACGCCTGTAATTCCAGCTACCCAGGTGGCTGAGGCAGGAGAATCACTTGCACCTGGGAGGCGGAGGTTGTAGTGAGCCGATTTTGGACTCCAACCTGGGCAACAGAGCGAAACTCCATCTCAAAAAAAAAAAAAAAAAAAAAGAAAAAAGAAAGAAAATGTTGTTGTGAGAGTTAATGGAAATGATGTTGGCCAGGCACAGTGGCTCAGGCCTATAATCCGAGCACTTTGGGAGGCTGAAGTGGGCGGATCACCTGAGATCGGGAGTTTGAGGCCAGCCTGGTAAATATGGTGAAACCCCATTTTGACTAAAAACACAAAAATTAGCTGGGCGTGGTGGCGGGCGCCTGTACTCTCAGCTACTCGGGAGACTGAGGCTTGAGAATCAGTTGAGCCAGGGAGGCGGAGGTTGCAGTGAGCAGAGATCAGGCCACTGCACTGCAGCGTGGGCAACAGAGTGAGACTTCATCTTAGCAAAAGAAATGATGTTTGTAAGGTAGGTGGCCTAGTGCTTGCCATTGTAGCAAACTATAAGGTAAGTGGTCCTCACTCTGGAAGAAAAGAAAGAACAGTCTTTTGTTTATACTGTGACAGTAATTAATAACTTTTAACAGATTTGTTTTCTTCTCATGGGACAAGTAGCTAAACTAAAGGAAGATTTTTTTTTTTTTTTTTTTTTTTTTTGTAGCACCTACTCAGGAATTTGGGAATTTGTGAAATTTCTGGATTTTTCAATTTAACTATTCTAATTTGTCTAGTGAACCTGATGGATATGATGATAAAATTTTACTTTAAAACAAAATAACCTTTCTTGTATTTCCATATAATCATTAGAAGGGGTAGATTAACACATCTGTCGTGAAAGCCCATGAGCCATGGCATTGGTTAGATAAAAAACATTTTATCTAAGCAAAAAAAAGCAGACAAATAGCATTTAATTCATAGAAATTTATGCCCCTCTCTGGATGTACATTTTCTTTCTTTCTTCCTTTCTTTCCTTTCTTTCTTTCTTTCCTTTCTCTCTCTTTCCTTTTCTTTTCTTTCGACACAAGCTCACTCTGTCACCCAGGCTGCAGTGCAGTGGTGCAATCTCAGCTCACCACAACCTCCACCTACCGGGTTCAAGTGATTCTAGTGCCTTAGCCTCCCGAGCAGCTGGGACTACAGGCGTGCACCACCATGCTGGGCTAATTTTTATATTTTTAGTAGAGATGGGGTTTCGTCATGTTGGCCAGACTGGTCTCGAACTCCTGACCTCAGATGATCCGCCAACTTCAGCCTCCCAAAGTGCTGGGATTACAGGCATGAGCCACCACGCCTGGCCTGGATGTACATATTCATTTGTGGTACTTTTACAAAATTTTTCGGAGCCCCATGGCATTTTATTAATTTGTGTCTGTTTTTTGAGACAGGGTCTTCTTCTGTCACCCAGGATGGAGTGCAGTGGTGCAATCATGGCTCTCTATAACCTCTGCCTCCCGGGCTCAAGCGATCCACCCACCTCAGCCTCCTCAGTAGCTGGGACTATAGGCGTGCGCCACCATGCCTGGCCAATTTTTTTTTTTTTTTTTTTTAATAGAGACGAAGTTTTTCCATGTTGCTCAGGCTAGTTTTTAACTCCTGGGCTCAAGCAATCTGCCCACTTTGCCTTTGCCTCTCTAATGTTGGGTTTACAGGTATGAGCCACCGTGCCCAGCCAACAAATTTAATAAAAAAGACAAAATACCTTCCATGTGCATAATGCATCTAGGTGTTAGATTAAATTAAACCAAATTGTTTGGTTCGAAGAATATATAGTCTCAATAATCAAAATCATAGCTGACCACGGGCCCTGAGAATGTAAATACGATGGTTTGGAATGCTTTGGCTTGGGGATGTTGGGAAGTGTCAGAACTAGTGGAAAGAGTAGGTCAAGAACAGCTTTTGTTTATACTGTGACAGTAATTTATAACTTTTAATAGATTTGTTTTCTTCTCATGGGACAAGTAGCTAAAGGAAGATTTTTTTTTTTTTTTTTTTTTGGTAGCACCTACTCAGGAATTTGTGAATTTGTGAAATCTCTGGCTTTTTCAATTTAACTAGTCTAATTTGTCTAGTGACAAATTAGTGGCAGGAAAGAAGGGGAGACAAAGGAGATTGTCCACAGAGGGAGGAGGAGGTGAGCTCAAGAGTGGAGGAGAGGAGATGGGAGAGCCAGGGAGGTTGTACATTATGGGACCCTGGTGAGGAACTTTATATCTCTTAGAAGCTTGAGCCTTTTATGGCCATTGTTTTATCTTCTCAACCAGGACGGTGATGTTCCCTTCTGGCAACCAAGGCTCGGGGGGGTCGGCTTGGACCAAGTAGAGGCCAACTGGGAAGAAATCTGCAGTGGACACCCCATGAGCGTATTCATTCTACTATAAGCATATTCTACCATGAGCATATTCTACCATGAGCATATTCTATTATAAGCATATTCTACTCTAATGTGGCAGACAGCATGTAATTTCCCTGCCACATTAATTTTCTTTTGAATTAGTGAAGATTTTTTTTTTTTGTCTAAAGTAGAGGATGCTCTCTTCTAGTTTTTTGAAGCTTCCATTTCAGTTTATTTCCATATTTCTTAGTGTAATTTTCTCCTTCAGCCGTTCCTCTATTTATTTGTAGAAAGAAAATTCTTTTGAAAAAATCTTATATAGCTCATTCTGACCCCTTCTATTGTTTGAAAGAATGGTCGATATTTGTTAGAAATTTGAAGCAGCAAGTGTGCTGTCAAAGGAAGCTGCCCTAGGTAGGGAGGGAGGAGAAAGCACCACATCGTTGAGCTCTGGCTTGGTGTCCTGGGCTGGCCCAGGCTGATGACATGTTCCTCCGTCCTTGGGAGGTTCCCAGCTGTAATCAGGCCCTAGGCAGCCGGCTGTCCTTCTTCCCTTCATAGCAATTGAGCCTTCAGCTCAGAGGCAAAGTTCATTTCTGATCTGGACAAGTGGTTGGCATCTGTAAAATACAAAGAATGTATTAAATTAATAAATAGTAAAACCTCAGTGAAAATAAATGGGTAAATGGCAGAAGTAGACAATTCACTGAAAAAAGAGATACAAGACCGGGCACGGTGGCTCATGCCTGTAATCCCAGCACTTTGAGAGGCCAAGACAGGTGGATCATCTGAGGTCAGGAGTTCAAGAGTAGCCAAAAATTAGCCAGACGTGGTGGTGCGCACCTGTAGTCGTGGCTACTTGGGAGGCTGAGGCAAGAACACCGCTTGAACCGGGAGGCAAAGGTTGCAGTGAGCCAAGATTGCATCATTACATTCCAGCCTGGGTGACGGTGAGACTCCATCTCAAAAAAAAAGAGTTACAAGTGGATAATAAGCATAAGAAATTTACTTACATACCTTTCAATGGCTCCAATTTTTTTTTTTTTTTGAGACAGAGTCTTGCTCTGTTGCCGAGGCTGGAGTGCGGTGGTATGATCTTCGCCCACTGCAACCTCTGCCTCCCAGGCTCAAGCGATCCTCTCACCTCAGCCTCCCAAGTAGCTGAGACTACAGGCTTGCACAACCATGTCCGGCTAATTTTTGTATTTTTTGTCAAGATGGGGTCTCACCCTGTTGCCCAGGCTGGTCTTCAACTCCTGGGCTCAAGTGATCCTTCCACCTTGGCCTCCCAAAATGCTGGGATTATAGGTGTGAATGGCTCCCAAATTGCTCCTTCTCTTTCCTCAAGAACCTCATTGCTAGGGCTTTGCTATTCAATCGATAGCATTTTGTCTGAGTAACACTTCTCAGTGACGCGAGGAATTGCCAGAAGGGGACAGCAATTAGGACCTTGATTCCATTTGTCATAGATTTCTTTTTTCTCTGTTCTTTAGCAAGGTGAGGCAAGAGTTTCAGGATCTTTGATTTCGCCCAGTATGTAGGCCAAAGCTAAGCACACAATAAATGAAACATTTATTGTCGTAATGAAGTTTGTTAAGGGTATTTCAGGCCATGACTCAGATGCTCACTTAATCCTTTCTTTTTCTCCATATGAGAATAAAAATATCAGAAAAGTAGGGAGGAACATATTGAATTATGTAGTAAATAGATTTCAAGGAAGAAGAGGAAGTGTAGAACAACGCATAGGCAGTTAGCCGTAATTGTGGCATTTAGGAGCTCAAACAAGGGGAATTCTGTGTGGACTAATTCCTGGGAAAAAAAAAGATATATAAACTTGCCCAACACCAGTACACTCTATTTTTTTAGAGCATGTGAAGGATCAGTAGAGTCCTTGCTTAAAGCCATTTGAAGGTTTTAGACTAAAAAAATTAATTCTTGGTAGTCAATATTAGGAAAAAAATGGAAAAGATACCCAGAAGGATGAAACACAATTCCTTCACTCATAAAGTGCTATAAATTCAATTATTATACATAAATATACATAAGAGAAATAGAAATTGACCTTGAGTTGGTTTAAAAAAAGTCCGTAACATCCTAAAACACAGCAAAAACTGTGACTCCTATGCAGAATTAGTTTGAAAAAATCATTTAATGCAAACAACATACAAAATCCTAAGATGCAGAATTAGTTTGAAAAAAAAATCATTTAATACAAAAGACATACAAAACTCCAAAAATTGAAGGACAACAAAGGAAAGAAAGACTAGGATGTGGTTTTGCTTGAAGAGAAACAAAGAAAGGATTGGATTTTTAGGTAAACTGGACCTTAGATAAAGTGGATACCCTGAAAAAACAGACTGTGTCCGGGGACTTGTGTGAATTACTCTGGGCCTGCTACAGTTACAATGTGACATTTCTGGCATCTGGGAAGGTGCTGAGTGTTCCAACATCTGTAACATCAGACCCAGCTGCTGTGCTTCCTTGTTTGCTCATGATGCCAGCTCCATTTCACCAATTAAAAGACAGCCAGGCTTCTGGCAGCGCTGGGAAAAAGCGGCTCTATCTCTTTTTTTCTTTTCTTTTTTTTTTTTTTTGATAGACTCTCACTTTGTTGCCCAGGCTGGAGTGCAGTGGCACAATTTCTGCTCACTGCAACCTCTGCCTCCTAGGTTCAAGTGATTGTTCTGCCTCAGCCTCCTGAGTACCTGGGACTACATGTGTGCATCACCACGCCTGGCTAATTTTTGTGTTTTTAATAGAGACGGGGTTTCACCATATTGGCCAGGCTGGTCTCGAACTCCTCACCTTGTGATCCGCCTGCCTCGGCCTCCCAAAGTGCTGGGATTACAGGCGTGAGCCACCGTGCCCGGCTGGCTCAATTTCTTTAGTATTACTTAGGAGGTCATTTGTTTGCCCAGTTTGTGATTTTGATGAGAATAATGGCCTTTTTAAAACTTGAATGTACCTAGGTTATGTGGTTATGCGGTTATGTTTCTTTAATAGAAATGTCTTTGATTATATGGTTTGTCTATTTTCTATCATTTGAAATGTCCAATAATTTGGTGTTTGTTTTTCAGTATGTGCTGTCTGTCTTGAAATTTACCTACCCTACATTATTCCAAGGGTGAGTATCTTCTTTGCTCTTTATATACATTTTTAGGAAATGTCCAACCAACATCATTCTTTGAAATAGTTTTAATAACTGCATAGATTTTTTTTTTTTTTGGCAAATAGACATATTGTAAGATATTTAGCCACTTTATTAACAGACATTTATGTTCCATTTTGGGGGTATGAAAACAATGTTACTAGATATTTTTGTGTTCAAGTCTGCCAAATTTCCAACTATTTCTTTGGGATTGATTCCTACATAAGAAATTTGGGTTAGGCTAGGCATGGTGTCTCATTACTAGAATCCTAGCACTTTGGGAGGCTGGGGCAAGAGGATTGTATGAGGCTGGGAGTTCAAGACCAGTCTGGGCAACATAGCAAGATGCTGTCTACAAAAAAGAAAAAGAAAAAGAAAACTGGCTAACCATATGCAGAAAAATGAAACTGGACCCCTATGTCTCACCATATACAAAAATTAACTCAGGATGGATTAAAGACTTAAATGTAAGATCTCAAACTCTAAAAATCCTAGAAGAAAACCTAGAATACTTTTCTGGACATTGTCTTAGACAAATAATTTATGGTAAGTCCTCAAAAGCAAATGCAACAAATGCAAAAATTGACAATTGGTACCTTATTAAACTAAAGACTTTCTGAGCAGCAAAAGAAACTATTAACAGAGTAAAGAGATAGCCTACAGAATGGGAGAAAATATTTGCAAACTATGTATCCAACAGAGGACTAATATCCACAATCTATAAGGAACGTAAATAAATCAACAAGAAAAAAACTAAATAATTCCTTTAAAAGTAGGCAAGGTCCACGAATAGACACTTCTCAAAACAAGATGTGCAAGTGGCCAACATATGAAAAAATGCTTAACATCACAAATCATCAGAGAAATGCAGTTCAAAACCACAATGAGATACCACCTCATACCAGTCAGAATGGCTGTTATTAAAAAGTCAAAAAATGGCCGGTGTGGTGGCTCACGCCTGTAATCCCAGCACTTTGGGAGGCCAAGGTGGGTGGATTACCTGAGGTCAGGAATTCAAGACCAGCCTGACCAGCATGGTGAAACCCCATCTCTACTAAAAATACAAAAAAATTAGCCAAGCGGCCGGGCGCGGTGGCTCACGCCTGTAATCCCAGCACTTTGGGAGGCCGAGGCGGGCGGATCACAAGGTCAGGAGATCAAGACCACGGTGAAACCCCGTCTCTACTAAAAATACAAAAAATGAGCCGGGCGCGGTGGCGGGCGCCTGTAGTCTCAGCTACTCGGGAGGCTGAGGCAGGAGAATGGCGTGAACCCAGGAGGCGGAGCTTTCAGTGAGCCAGGATCGCGCCACTGCACTCCAGCTTGGGCGACAGAGTGAGACTCCCGTCTCAAAAAAAAAAAAAAAAAAATTAGTCAAGCATAATGGCACATGCCTGTAATCCCAGCTATTTGGGAGGCTGAGGCGGGAGAATGGCTTGAACCTGGGAGGCGGAGGTTGGAATAAGCGGGAGGTTGGAGTGAGCCAAGATCGCACCATTGTACTCCAGCCTGGGCAACAAGAGAGAAAATCTGTCTAAAAAAAAAAAAAAAAAGGCAAAAAATAACATGTTGGCAAAGTTTTGGAGAAAAGGAAATGTTTATACACTGTTGGTAGGATTGTGAATTAGCTTAACCCCTATGGAAAGCAGTTTGGAGACTTCTAAAAGAATGAAAAATAGAATTACAATTTGACTCAGCAATCCCATTACTGGGTATGTACTCAAGGAAAATAAATTCTTCTACCAAAAATATACCTACACTCACATGTATTTTATCATAGCACTATTCATAATAGCAAAGACAAGGAATCAACTTAGGTGCCCATCAACAGTGGATTGGATAAAGAAAATTTGGTATATATGTATATATGTGTGTGTGTGTATATATATATATATATAAAATGTGGAATACTACACAGCTGTAAAAAGGATCACAATTACTTCCTTAGCAGCAATGTGGATGCAGCTGAAGGTCATTATCCTAAGTGAATTAACATAGAAAGAGAAAACCAAATACTGCAAGTTTTTACTTGTAAATGGTGGCTGAACATTGGGTACACATGGACATAAAGATGGAATAGTAGACACTGGGGATTCCCCAAGGGGAGAGTTAGGGAGAAACGTAAGTAAGGATTGAAAAACTACCTATTAGGTACTACTGTGTTCACTGGGTGACAGGATCAACAGAGGCCCAAACCAGCATCACACAATGTACCCATGTAGCAAATCTGCACATGCACCCCTTGAATCTTAAAAAAAAAAAGAAAGAAAATTAGCTGGGCATGGTGACATGAACCCATAGTCTCAGCTACTCAGGAGGTTGAGACAGGAGGATTGTTGGACGCCAAGAGTTAGAGGCTGCGGTGGGCTGTGATCTTGCTGCTGTACTCCAGTTTGGGTGACAAAGTGAGATCCTGTCTCTAAAAAAAAAAAAATAATTAATTTGGATTAAAGTGCATGAACTTCTTTAGTATTCTCCTTGAGTAGTAACATATTCTTTTCCAAAAATGTTTGACCAATTGACATTGCCACCCAGCCTCTATATGAACGTTTCGATAATATTGTGCTCAAACTGTGATTCTCTTTGCTGATTTCATGAGCAAAAGGTGTATTGTTTTGTCATATAATTTTTTAGGTTATTCATCAAGTTGGACAATTTTCTTATGCATATTATCCACTTGTATCTCTTTTCCGGTGAATTGTCTTGTTGTGCCTTTTATCCATTTATTTTCATTGAGGTTTTAGTGTTTTTCTTATTAATTTAACAAATTCTTTATGTTTTAACGAGCTCAATCTGTTGTCCATTATGTTTTTGGAAATAATTTTCGCAATTTGTTCTTTGCCTTTCAATTTGTTTATAATTATTTCGATTATTTAAATATTTTTTATGTGGTCAAATATATTGACTGTTTCTTTCATGATTGCTTCCATTGCTTTTGTTCTTTTCTTCTCCATCATAAAACCATTTAGATATTCAACTATATTTCATTAAAACTTTATTCATCATTGTCAGTTTAATTTAGTGTACAGTACAATGTGAAGAAATTGTCCCTTCCCCAGTAGTTAACTAATTTATACTGGCCTCATTTATTCTATAGTCCTTCCTTTTGCCTTATTCCCAAAGGCATAATCATCATTTAGATATTCACCTATATTTCCTTAAAGCTTTATTCAAGCTTTAATTGTTGTCAGTTTAATTTAGCATATGGTGCAATGTAAGGAAATTGTCCCTTCCCCAGTAGTTAACTAATTTATGCTAGCCTCATTTATTGTGTAATCCTTCCTTTGGCCTTATGTCCAAAGGCATAATAATCTGTATATGTTTGTTAATATCATATACAGACTGTCCCAACTTAACGACGGTTGGACTTACAATTGTTTGACTGTACGATGGTGTGAAAGCAATATGCTTTCAGTAGAAACCATACTTAAGCTTTTGAGTTTTGCTGTTTCCCAGGCTAGCGATATGCCATACAATACTCTCCCCTGGTACTGGGCAGTAGTAGCAAGTGGTGAGCTGCAGCTCTCAGCCAGCCACGCTAATATAAATGTTCTGAACATGTTTATGGTAGGCGAGGCCAAGCTCTGGTGTTTGGTAGGTTATGTGTATTCAATGCTCTTTTAGTTATGACATTTTTAACGTATGATCAGTTTGTTGGGATATAACCCCATTGTAAGTTGAAGAGCATCTGTATAAAGTCATTTTTTGTCTGGGCACAGTGGCTCACACCTGTAACCTCAGCACTTTGAGAGGCCAAGTGGGAGGATCTCTTGAGGCTAGGAGTTTGAGACCAGCTTGGCCAACATGACGAAACCCTGCCTCTACTAAAAATACAAAAATTAGCCAGGTGTGATGGTGAGCATCTGTAGTCCCTGCTACTTGGGAGGCGGAGGCACGCAAATTGCTTGAACCCAGGAAGCGGAGGTTGCAATGAGCTGAGATCATGCCACTGCACTCCAATCTGGGCAACTTTCCCAAAAATAAAAGAATAAAAGATTCTTTTTATTTATTTTGTGAGACTGTCCCAAAAATAAAAGATTTTTTTAAAAAAGTCATTTTTCTTTTTCTTTCTTTTTTTTTTTTTTTGAGAGGGAGTCTCGCTCTGTTGCCCAGGCTAAGGTGCAGTGGCCGGATCTCAGCTCACTGCAAGCTCCGCCTTCCTGGGTTCATGCCATTGTCCTGCCTCAGCCTCCCAAGTAGCTGGGACTACAGGCGCCCGCCACCACGCCCGGCTAGTTTTTTGTGTTTTTTAGTAGAGACGGGGTTTCACCGGGTTAGCCAGGATGGTCTCAATCTCCTGACCTTGTGATCCGCCCGTCTCGGCCTCCCAAAGTGCTAGGATTACAGGCTTGAGCCACCGCGCCCGGCCAAAAAGTCATTTTTCTAAGGTCTCTTTTTGGGTATGTATTCGTCAATTTTGATGTTAAGGGACTAGTGCTGAATTGTTTTCATTGTTAAACCATTTAAATATGTAGTAGAGCGAGCCGTCCCTCACTCTTCTTCTTTTAAAAAAATGTTCGTTATATTATCACCACTATGTTATTTCAGGTGAACTTTAAACTACTTTATCAAGCTCCTCCCTAATATTTCATAGCAAACACGTTTGTTTGTTTTTCTAGAGGCAGGCTCCCTCTCTGTCACGCAGGCTGGAGTACGGTGGCATGATCATAGCTCTCTGCAGCTTTGAACTCCTGGCCTCAAGCGATCCTCCCGGGATTACAGGCTTGAGCCACTGTTCCCGGCCTCATAGCAAAAGTTTTAAAGTATCTTCTGTGATTATGGGTATTTTAGTCAATAAAGCTGGGATACCGGTTTCTTTCTTACAGAGAAGCAAGCATGTTTTGGTTCTGATTGTCTTTCCACATCTGTAAAGGTAGAGGGACTGAGGGAAGGTGCGTAGGAAAGGGTGATCTCTATGCTTGGATTGCCATTCTCCTCCTTGTCCTTGGATGAGACAGACTGAATGCACCTCCCCCAGAGAATGTAAGATCTACAAAGGCAGGAATTTTGATTTATCCATTTTGTCACTGGCGTATTCCCAGTGCCTAGAACAATGCCTGGTGTCTAGTAGGGCAGAGCAACGTATTCTGCAGATGCCTGGGGTACATCAGTGAAGAAAACAGATCCCTGCCCTCATGGAGCTTGCTTTTTAAATTCCATCTGTTCCTTAAATTCACCTGCAGTGAATGGTTACCCTCCATTTAACTACACAATTCAGAACCTGGGAGTGATTCTTGTTTCCTTTGTCTCCTTCATCCTCAACATCCGGTTAACCACCAGGGCCTTCTAGACATCTTCAGAATCTGTCCACTTTCTTCATCCATCTTGCCCCTTTCCAAGCCACTGTCTTCTCTTCAATTACTATAAAAACTCCTAACTTACTTCTTTGCCCCTAGTCTTGCTTCTCAGAAACATTCCCTCCCTTGTAAAGAGAGGGAGCTTCCCCAAATGTAAATGGGACAGGGTCACTCCCATGCCTGGAAGCCTTCAGTGAGTCCCCGGTTTGAAGTCCCAGCTCCTTATGATTGACGTGGTCCTTTAGGATCAGCCCCTTCTCTCCAGGGTCAGCTCTTGCTGCCCTCTCTCCAATGCTCCAGTGCTGGGGTCCAGACTAATTGAACTTCTCCAAGAAGCTTTGAATGAAGCTATTGTCTCTCTCACTTCTGAGCCTTTGTCCCTTCTGGATCTTCTGCTTTGAACGTGCTTCGGGTTTTTGCACAAAGTTGTTCTCTCTTGGAAGTCTTACCCACTCACTAGACTAGGTTAGCTTCCCTCAACAGAGTGGCTTATAGTACCTGGTACACTTCCTTTTAGGGCTTCACGCACTTTGTTGTAATTATTGATTAATTACCTTACTTTCACTAGATTGGAGTTTCTCAACCTTGGAATGACATTCTAGCACTGACATTTTGAGTTGGATAATTCTTTGTAGTGGGGACGGCCCTGCACGTTGTAGGATGTTTAGCAGCATCCCTGGCTTCTACTGGCTAGATTCCAGTGGCATACCTTCTGCTCCTCTCCCCAGCTGTGACAACCAAACATTTGTCTAGACACTGCTATATGTCCCCTGGAGGGGAAGATTGCCTGGTTGAGAATCACTGTGCTAGACCAAACTGTTTGAAGGCAGGACCCACATTTAGTGTGTTCTGCTTGGCTGGGTCAGTGAAACTTCACACAGGATATATGCAAACTGGGTGTTATAGGCTGAGCAGGTGTTCACCACAGACAAAGAGATGGGAAGAACATTACGGGGCAAGAGGATGGCACACCCGGACTCCTAGAAGTATGACATGACCTGGCATGTTCCCAAGGCTGTGGGCCATCGGGTGTGGCTAGAATGTGGCTGCACACAGCAGACAGACAGGAGCTAACCCTGGAGAGGGTTAGGTGCAAGTCCCAAAGGACTTTCTGTGTCACACCCAAGTTACTTTGTCCTTTAGGCCAGAGTTCTCCACCGTGATGTGGCAACACATGGGTGTGTGGTGGTCATAGTCACTTCCGAGGTGAGCTGTCTCAAGTCATTTATCTTGAAAAACAGGGTTTTGAAATTTATGAATGACTCACGTAAAATAAAAAAACAATTCGAGCAAGCAACTGTCCCTCTTACTCGTTTGGCATTCTGATGTGCTTTCTGCATTGGGAGGGGGAGGGGTGTTTGTGACCTGTGCTGCCCCTGCACTGTGCATGCTGGGGGCTGTGTGTCTCAGGTGAGCTTCATGACCTAGGAGTGCGTTGTAGGCAGAAAAGAGGCTGAGGGTTGCTGCCTGTGGCGCCAAGAAGAATCATCTGTTTTTAAAACAAGCAAGTAGCACAATTAAATTCGCATTTTAGGACAAACCCTTTGGCTGCAAAGTAAAGAATGGATGGGGGGCAACCTTGGAAGAGGGGGACCAGTTAAGGGACTAATGCTGTGAGCCAGGCATGAGATGATGAGAGCCTGAATTGAGACAGAGGCAGGAGGGTTGGTAGGGAGGGAAGACTTCAGATTTGAATGCTGTTATGGGGATAAGTAAAATCAATAGGATATTGTGCTTAGAAGAGGGAGGTGAAGGCCGAAGAGGTGAGGTGGAATGCCACCTAGGTTTCTGGTTTGGCTGCTTAGGAATAGGGAGGATGATTTGAGGGAGAGGTTCAGGGTGATGATTTAGGCATGTTATCACTGGGAGCTTGGCAGGGAGAATGGGAGGGGGCTGAGGGTTGAAACGGTATCTATTGGGCACAATGTATACTGTTCAGTTGATGGACACTGGAAGCCCAAACCTCACCATTGCTCACTATATCCATGTAACAAACCTGCACATATACCCCCAAATCTGTGAATAATAACAATAATAATAATCATTGAGAGCTTGTGGGAGATCATCGTGGCAGTATCCAGGTGAGAACGGGGATTGGGGAATCATCAAAGTAGAGGCAGTGGGAGAAGCAGTGACTATGAGCGAGGCCGTTCAGGAAAAGTCTAGAATAAGAGGAGAAGAGGCCAGGCGCGGTGGCTCACACCTGTAATGCCAGCACTTTGGGAGGCCAAGGCAGGTGGATCTTGAGGTCAGGAGATCGAGACCACCGTGGCTAACAGGGTAAAACTCCGTCTCTATTAAAAATACAAAAAATTAGCCAGGCGTGGTGGCACGCGCCTATAGCCCCAACTACTCAGGAGGCAGAGGCAGGAGAATCGCTTGAACCTGGGAGGCGGGAGTTGCAGTGAGCCAAGTTTGCACCATTGCACTCCAGCCTGAGCGACGGAGCGAAACTCCATCTCAAAAAAAAAAGAAAGAAGAAAACAAGAGGAGAAGAATGTCGATGTCAGTACTTGCTGGACAGCTGGACTCAAGGGAATAGTAGAGATTGAGAAGGAAAGTCTGAGAAATGGGATAATTGGGAGAGAGTGGGAGAAAAGAGGAGTAAACAGAGTTGCACGTGTCTCTTTGTGTCAGTCAGCAGATCTGCTGGGGCTGGATGGTGTTGGAGACTGTAGCACTCTATGAAATTCACGTTGCCTCTTGTCCTTTCCAGGTGGCAGACACTCATTGGTGGACTTTTGCTTCATGTGTCTTGGAAACTGGGCTGGATAGAGATCAACAGCAGTTCAAGGTATAACCTCTCTGTGCTGGACTCATGCGTGATTCACACTCTGCTTCCTTTTGATATTGTATAATTTCATATGATGTTACACTGGAAACACAGAGGTTTATTTATTTACTTATTTATTTATTTTTGAGACAGAGTCTCGCTCTGTCTCCCAGGCTGGGGTATAGTGGCATGATCTTGGCTCACTGCAACCTCTGCCCCCCAGGTTCAAGTAATTCTCATGCCCCAGCCTCCCGAGTAGCTGGGATTACAGGCACACACCACCATGCCCGGCTAATTTTTGTATTTTTAGTAGAGACAGGGTTTTACCATGTTGACCAGGCTGGTCTTGAACTCCTGACCTCAAGTAATCCACCTGCCTTGACCTCCCAAAATGCTAGGATTACAGGCGTGAGCCACTATGCCTGGCCAACACAGAGGTTTGTTTGAGTTGTTTGCTCTCTTAGTTCCCTTCTAACTGTGAGGTTTAGTGATTTATTTTCAGATAAAATTCAAATAGTATTTTCCTGGGTAATAATGCCACTAATATAGTATTAACTGATACACTGATGTAGTGTGGGGAAAAAGTTAATTGAGATATGTATTTTATAATGTCAAATTAATTTTGCTTTGTTTTAGATCATAGCATATGATGAATGAAATTATATTTAGCTTAAAAAATTTTTTTAGTAAATTTTTTATTTTGAATTATTTCTGGCTGGGCATGATGGTTCATGCCTGTAATCCCAGCACTTTGGGAAACCAAGGCAGGAAGATCACTTGAGCCCAAGAGTTTGAGACCAGCCTGGACAACATAGGGAGACCCCACCTCTACAAAAATAATAAGAAAAATATTAACCAGGTGTGGTGCGTGCCTGTGTTCCCTGCTACTCGGGAGACTGAGGAGGGAGGATCACCTGAGCCTGGGAGGTCAAGGCTGTAGTTTGCCATGATTACACCACAGCACTCCAGCCTGAGCCACAGCAGGAGACCGTGCCTCAAAAAAAATTCTTACCTATAGAAAAGTTAGAATGATACAATGAACTCCTCTACCCATTACTCAGATTTCCTTATGATGATTATTATTATTTTGAGATGGAGTTTTGCTCTTGTTGCCCAGGCTAGAGTGCAATGGCACAATCTCAACTCACTGCAACCTCTGCCTCCTGGGTTCAAGCGATTGTCCTGCCTCAGCCTCCCGAGTAGCTGGGATTACAGGCACCAGTCACCATGCCTGGCTAATTTTATATTTTTAGTAGAGATGAGATTTCTCCATGTTGGCCAGGCTGGTCTCAAACTCCCGACCTCAGGTGATCCGCCCACCTCGGCCTCCCAAAGTGCTGGGATTCTTCCAAAGTGCTGGGATTACAGGCGTGAGCCACCGTGCCTGGCGATTCCCTTATTTTATCACGCTTTTCTTATCATTTTCTCTTGATGTACTGTGCATATATGTATATGTATATGCATACATACGTATATAAATATATAAACTTTTTTTTTCTGAACTTTTTGAAAGTAAGTTGTAGATTTGACAGGAAATGTCTCTTTTCTTTGCTTTTGAATTCTTTAGGGTATTTTTCCTAAGAGCAAGGACATTCTCTTACAAGACTGCAATAAAATTATCAAAATCAGGGAGATAATTAACATTGATACAATACTATTATCCCATTTAAAGACCATATTTTGCCAGTTATCTCAATGGTATCCTTTATAGCCCTCCACTCCAAAATTCTAGTCCGGGGTCCAATCCAGATCATGCAATACGTTAGTTGTTATGATTCTATTAAAACAGCCTTTTAAATATGTTTAAAAGAAATTTAGGCCGAGTGCGGTGGCTCTCACCTGTTATCCCAGCACTTTGGGAGGCCAAGGCAGGTATATCACTTGAGGTCAGGAGTTCGAGACCAGCCTGACCATGGTGAAACCCCATCTGTAATAAAATACGCAATTAGCCAGGTGTGGTGGTGCGTGCCTGTAATTCCAGCTACTTGAAAGGCTGAGGCAGGAGAATCACTTGAACCTGGGAGGCAGTGATTGCACCACTGCACTCCAGCCTGGGAGACAGAGCGAAACTCCATCTCAAAAAAAAAAAAAAATTTTAAAGATGATGACATTATCTAGCCAAAACTGTAATCCGAATTGGTTATCTACTCCTGCCTCACCTAGATATCCTCCTGATTCTTTGAGAACATCCTTCCTATCCTGAAATGATGCACAAAGTGAAAAGAAAACTAAGTTAAAGTTAATATGAATAAAGTAAACATCACAGCTGAATGAGCAGGCCAAGTCATTCACCTTGTGATGACTCTGCCCAGCTTCTCCATTAATCAGATTAACTGCTTAATTGTTAAGTCACTCCTTTGTTTGGCACTCTGGAGAAGATTTGAGAACATGTTCAGTGTAATATTATTAATTTTGGCTTTTCGACCAGGTGTAGTGGCTCATGCCTGTAATCCCAGCACTTAGGGAGGCTGAGGCAGGAAGATCACTTGAGGTGACCAGCCTGGCCAACATGGTGAAATCCCCTCTCTACTAAAAATATAAAAATGAGCCCAGCATGGCTACTTGGGAGGCTGATGCAGGAGAATCGCTTGAGCCAGGGAGGCAGAGGTTGCAGTGAGCTGAGATCATGCCACTGCACTCCAGCCTGGGTGACAGAGTGAGACCCTGTCTCAAAAGAAAAAAAAAGAAAAAAGAATAATAATTTTGGCTTCTCCTGAAAATTTAAAACTGGAGAACAAAAAACTAGTATTAAGAAGTTTTATGAAGGAGAGATCCTGGGAACATAGGTGTACATTAATGTACCTGATGGTATTATATCATAATCCATATCCAGAAGGAATATTCCACACAATATGCTTAGCTAATCCAAAGGAGAAGTTCATTAAGTCACAATTTTGCATTTTCATGGTATAGTATCCTTAATTGGATGAAATAAAGATACTTTTGGGATTCTATATGTTATATTAAGCACAAGTCTTACTAAATACTCCATTGTTATGGTAGATAGTTTAGTAAGAATTGGGCTTCATTTAAACAAATAGGGATACAGAATTCACAAGGCCTGCGATAGTTGCAATATTTAAATACTGAAGGACCCTAGCTCCAAATGGGTAAACATATTCCTTCGAAGAAGCAGGAGCTTGGGCCAGGATGAGGAAATTGGCTATCACATTATGACCTGGGGACCACTGGTGCAGATCAACATGAGTCTTCCTTGCTGATTCTAATTATCACATAATTTCTGATGTAAATTATTTACTTATTAATAGCTGTCTTTAAAAATTAACTTACTCATATTTTCTTAAAAGCAATGCCATTTTTCACATGAAAAAATTTTTGTTTATTGTGTTATTAATAAAATATGTATAACATAAGATTTCCCATTTTAACCATTTTAAGTGTACAATTCATTGGCATTGGTTATAGTCACAATATTGTACAATCATCATAACTATTTTTGTCCAGAACTTTTTCGTCATTCCAAACATAAACTCTGTACCCATTAAATGGTATCTTCCCATTCTCCCCTCCCAGTTGCTCCTGTTCTATTTTCTTTGTCTATGAATTTGCCTATTCTGGGTACCTTGTATATACTGAGTTGTACAATATTTGTTCTTTGGTGTCTGACTTATTTTACTTAGCATTAATGTGTTCAAGTTTCATGCATGTTGTAGCAGGAATCAGAATTTCATTCCTTGTGAAGGCTGAACAATGTCTATATGTATTCATCACATTTTGTTTATGCATTTATCTGTTGATAGAATTCTCCATACTTTTATTATTTTGTTTTTTGAGGTAAGGTCTTACTCTGTCGCCCAGGCTGGAGTGCAGTGGCTCAGTCTTAGTTCACTGCAGCCTTGAACTTCTTCTGGGCTCAAGCTATCCTCCTACCTCAGTTTCCCAAGTGACTGGGACTACAGGTGTGCACTACCACGCCCAGCCAATTGTTTAATTTTCTGTAGAGATGGGGGTTTGCAATATTGCCCAGGCTGATCTCTAACTCCTGACCTCAAGCAATCCTCCCCCTTCAGCCTCCCAAAGTGCTGGGATTACAGGCATGAGCCACTGTGCCCAGCCTTCTAATTGGTGTTTTGAAGGGCTGGTAATGATTAGCAGAACTGGCCAAAGATTCTCAAGATTGCTTCCCTGGAAGAAGTGGTCCTTTGACTGTAGAAGTTTGAAACCCACTAGACACTTATCCCTTGGACTTGACAGTGTGCTGCTGGGTTCTACCTATCTCGGAATATCCGTGATCACATCTTCTTTTCAGCTCCTAGCTAAACTCCACAGAAGTCTTTTCACCTCTGTCTCCTGTAGGTAGGTGTATTCACAGCCGCCCATAGCTCCATGAAACTTTTTGTCAAAGATCCCCATATCTGGGTTTTTTGGTGGATCTTGTAACTGCTGGTACGGCTCAGGATTTCCAGTTGCCATGGCCCTTGGCGAAGGAGTGCTACCAGATGTTCAGCAGAAAGATCCAGCACCCACGTTCTTTCGTATGTGCTGGGCTGGGTTTGTATTTGCTGTGGCTGCTGTTTCCTCCTGGACTTGGTTTTCTGATTATGTCATTAGGGAAGTGAAGCCCAGTTTTACTGAGTAACTATGAATGCAGAGATGACAGAGATTTGGCTCTTCTAAAAATGGAAATATCAGGAAGACAGTTTGGAGTCCCAGCGGCTACTGTGGGCTGGGGATTGTAATGGTGGGGCTGGAGAGTGGGTCCTAAGTTAGGACTGGACAGCACAGGACATGGAGAACTCATTTAGATTGCCCTTCTAACCTGGAGCTCAAAGAGGCCCCCATTCCCTCTCATATGTCAAATGAACCTCAGAACCTGGCAACACATTTCTTTTTTCTTTTTCTTGAGATGGAGTTTTGCTCTTATCACCCAAGCTGGAGGGCAATGGCACAATCTCAGCTCACTTCAACCTCTGCCTCCCCGGTTTAAGCAATTCTCCTGCCTCAACCTCCTGAGTAGTTGGGATTACAGGCGCCTACCACCATGCCCAGTTAAATTTTTT